TGCAGAAGAGTAGCATGAGCACACCACAGCGGTGCCCAGTAAGTATCAAGACTAACCTCGGTGGAGTAGTGACGAGGAACAGTCAAGGCACCTACCGGTCAAATAAACAGTATAATCATAGGAATAATGGAACCGATATATAAATATATAAAGACTGCATGAATGACCAAAAATGCTACAACTCACAATAAAGGAAAAGGACAACAAGTAACAACGAGAATATAATAAATGAAGATACGAAAATGACGGCAGAATCACAATCCAAATCCTAAGGTCACAACACAGCAAGGGGAAAAACAAGTCAATAACTCATATCCTACAATGATGTTCACATAAGGTCTTATTCAACTCTTTCCACAATTTTTTTACCAAGTCTCAGACAAACCACAACTCACGAAGACCCGGCATCTGAAACCTAACACTTGTCATCCTGTGCCCCATCAATCTCATGGTCATGCTGACAACTAAATGGCTAACTAGGGCCACTCTCACATATATAATGGATAAACGAGGGCGTATCTACACCCTTAGCAAAATCGGAAGGAATTCACCTCTAATGGGGTGTCCAACTACGTGTATGCTTGTGCAAGTGTTTTTAACAAGAATTCTACCAACTAGAAAACATGAAAAGGAGAACGGACCACACGTACGAATGTTTCCTCACAACTTCCAAGCGGTAACGCTCATACAGGTAAGCAACCCACAATCACAATATAAAACAAATAGGAATGCCTCCACAGGCCGTCACAATTCTTTACAATCAACCACTGACATAGCCCACCTTATTTCGCCACGCGTGCAAATAATAATATAATAGGCACCGCCTTATTTCGCCACACCTGCATCACAATATTCCCACCTTATTCCGCCACATGCGCAACCCACATAAGCATATAACATGTCCCGCCTTATTATGCCGCATGTGCAAAACATCAATAGCAACAATAGCACGGAAAAGACCTCGTGCAACCTTCAACAACAACCGCACGACAGAGACCTCGTGCATCACAGTACCAACAGCCGCACGGCAGAAACCTCGTGCATCACAGTATCAACAACCGCACAGCAGAAACCTCGTGCATCACAGTCTCAAGTACCACACAACAAATGACAATATATACAGGAACAAAGCAAGAGAATCACAACTAACTCATAAGGAATAACCGTAACAGAGAAATACTAAGCGCAATAAGAATAACTCAACAAGGAGAAATAATACGAAATAACGATTCCAAAATACTCAGTTCAACAACACAGAAGTTAACATGAATCAAATAATTACAATTAAGGAAATATCAACTAAACATAGGATATCTAACTTCTTTCCAATTAAGACCAATTAATTACACGAGAGATAGAAATAATGCTTTCCAAGTAAAGACAAGCAGTTAGGAATGATAATGTGACTATAGAATGGTAAATGTCTACAGTTAAACAAGTAAAAGTCAATTAGGTAGCAAGAATAACCAAAAAGGGCAGATAAATTCCAAGTAAGTCATGTAGAGGTGAAACAACTAACAGGGAACTCAATCGTATCAAGAACAACTTCATATTCGGTGATAACAAGGATCTAAGAGCCTAAAGGGGGCAATTTTCCACAGATAAATCCGAGCATGCACTCGTCACCTCGCGTACAAGGAATACAATCAACAAAAAAGACTCAAATCCTAAGGGGAAGTTCCCCCACACAAGGTTAGGCAAGATACTTACCTCGAACCGGCTAAA